CCTCCTTCCTTGCTCTCTATGTAACTCTGCCTGTCAAATAAAATATATGTTCATAAAAGAAAAAGCATCTATTATAACCAGCATCCCTAAAGCACTGGAGAGTATGTGTGCCGTCAGTGATAAACAATGGCCACTTGAAAATCCTGACAGTGGCACCTTTTAACTCCGCGTCTCCAGGAATACCCATGGAGCCAATCTGGACCTGAACATTTGAGCCTCTTGTTAGGAATCTGTAGCCTCTTAAAGACAAGCCTTACAGCCTGTCACATGAGATGGAATTCAGCCATGGGCTGCTCTTCTTTCCTGAATTTCCCCCAAAAAGAACCAATCAGGAGGCTACCCATGTGGCCTGGCATTGTGGCACAGCAAGCTAAGCTACTGCCTTTGATGCTGGCATCCTCTATGGGCACCAATTTGCACATCTACTGCTTCACTTCTAATCCAGCTCCCTGCTCATACACCTGGGAAAAGCAGCCGATGTTGGTTCAAGTGTTTGAGTCCTTGTTACCTGGGTGGGAGACCTGGAAGAAGCTCCTGGTTCTCACAGCTGTGGCCTGGCCCAGCACAGCTGTGAGAACCATCTAGGGAGTAAACCAACAGATGAAAGATTTCTGTCTCTCTCTGTAACTCTTTCAAATAAATAAAATATATCTTAAAAATAAGATGAAGCCACCCAACCAGGCAGTATGAAGAAAGGGGATTTTCTGAGTTATGACAGGTGCACACACATTGGAGTCACACATCTGTCACTGGTGCTTATAGTAGACTCAACCATGATGATAGTAGTATTTCAGATTTATTTATTTTTTTAATTTTTATTTATTTTTTTTATTGGAAAGGCGGATATATACAGAGAGGAGAGACAGAGAGGAAGATCTTCCGTCCGATGATTCACTCCCCAAGTGAGCGCAATGGCCGATGCTATGCCGATCCAAAGCCAGGAGCCTCTTCCGGGTCTCCCACGCGGGTGCAGGTTCCCAAAGCTTTGGGCCGTCCTCGACTGCTTTCCCGGGCCACAGGCAGGGAGCTGGATGGGAAGTGGGGCTGCCGGGATTAGAACCGGCGCCCATATGGGATCCCGGGCATGCAACCTTAACCACTTGCGCCACCGCGCTGGGCCCAATTTCAGATTTATTGAATTACGTGCCAGGCAGGCTTCTCAGTACATTAGGCCTATTAATAAATTTAATCTCCACCCTAGTAATAAGTAAGATATTATTATTATGGTCATCCTATGTCTACGGAGAATATGCTCCAAGACCACCCCTACCCTGGGTACTTGAATAAGAACCCATGGATACCCTATATAGGAATACTCTGATTGCCTCTATGGACTATCATAAAGTTTAATTTACAAATTGGACGCAGTAGGAGATTTAACAGTGAGAACCCACAAAATGGAAGTATTAGAGTGCTGGACTATAATAAATGTGTAAATATGGGATTGCTCTCTCAAAAGATGCTATACTCAACTTACCTGATGATGGTGATATACTGAGGTGGTTCATCACCTGCATGATGAGGTGGATGATTAGGTGTTGTACTACATCCCAAGACACTGTTGGACTCGTAGTCCTGGGTCACAGGTGTGCTAAGTCAAAGTCCTAAGTCAAGGTCATGTGCTTTGGGTGAGCTTGGCTCCTCATGCCATGACGTTGGGTAGGGGGCAAACAGTCTTTGCAACCTAGATAGATAGGACAAAGGGGTGATCCGTGTCCTGGACACAAGAGAGCAAGGAATTACTTTTGGAATTTTCCATGTCATACGTTTGGACTACATTTGATCATGGGTCTCTGAAGCTGCAAACTGGGGGTCTGCTGTATGGTCATTGCCCTTTTTCATTAGCATTACCACTTGACAGAACCTGAGACTCAGTGAGATGGAGAAACTTGCCCACAGAATCTTCAGCCCTGGGAAACAGCAGCTCAGACATCCAGAGAAGGGCCCCTTTGCCATGAACTGTAACCTCTCCCTTCCCCATCACGGTCCAAGAAGCAGAATGAGTGTTCATAGCATTCCCTGAATGCCCGTGTTTATAGCAGAATTCATTCTAGCAAAGATGTGGAATGAATCTGGATGTCTATCAACTGATGAATGGATTAAAAAATATTCAGTAGATATGCATGATGGAATTTTAGTGAGCCATAAAAAAGAATGAAATCCTTACACTTGCAACAAAACAGATGGAACTGGAAATCATTAGGCTGAGTGAAATAAGCCCATCTCAGCAAGATCCACCTCCGAGGTTTTCTTACTTGTGCAAGAGTATAAAAATTATGTGGGTGTCATATCATTTGAGGTGTGTGTTTATAAATATTGCTTCATTGACTCATACATGTAAAGGGTAGCACACTTACTGATCATTATTATAAATCCCTTATTCTGTGATATTAATATCTGTTTTCAAGGAAAAAAAATAAAGTACAAAAATGAAAAAGGAGGAATGCAAACCTAATGGGAGACATGCTTTCAAGCCAGTCAGCACGCTTTCCTTTATGGGTCCACAGTCTAGCATGATGCTGAATCCAGTTGAGTCAGGATGGGGCCATGGGCCACTGCTGGCCCTTCCTCTTAGACAAATGCATCACCCCAAACCAAACCCCCTCTCCTGGGTCAAATCACGATCATGCACTGGACATGACAGGAAGAATTCTTATAAGGCAGTCTTGCCATTTCCAAAGTAAAGCCCCAAAGAAACCCAGCACAGGGTTCTGCTTCGCTCCCAGATGAAGGCAGTGTGTGTTTGGAGAACCGTAAAAAGAGGAGGTGGGCCCCCGTGCCAGCCTGTGCTGTGACTGGTAGGTCAACAGTAGAAACCTGGAACAGGCTGGCTGGAAAGGAGCACACTTGATAAAACGGGGTGTCAGCAAGCCTGGGCCACCAATTGTAATCGCTGCTCAGAGGGAGGAGGCCAAACCCATTTGACAGGTGAAAAAGCATCTCTATTGACTTTTTACAAACCTTATGATATTCTAGGTGGATCGACACTTATCATAGCCCTTTAATCTGCCAACGGGGATAATGTGTGCACGGATAATTTATCTGACTGTGAGATTGAAATGCTCAATTTGGAATAACTTTCCCAACCCGCTAAATTGAGCATTGCTGCATAATTCTGAAGCAGAGAGAAAGCACAATTTAAAGAGCTTTGCAGAGTTCCTTTGTAATTAGTCGCAGCTTGCCCTGAATGTTAATTTCCTCCTTGTCCCTTTCAAGTGATGGAGAGTCTGTCCCTTGGACCACAGAGGCACACCCCAGAACCACACCAGCGCACTGCCTCCTCTCAGACACCCAAGATTCTTATGAAGTGGCCTCTGTTCTTCAGTGCAGCGTGTGGGGGCTTATCAGTGCGGTTTAATATTTATGCTAAGAGGATTGTCAAAAGCAGCTTCTGTTGCTCTAATTCTTGTTTTAAATAAATAATGAGAACATTTAAACACATTACTCTTCTTGGGGCCCTGAGGTCAACTAATCTTATTATTTATGAAGTGATGTGCTACATAATAGTACTTAGCGCATGTTAACAGACGCTATTATCAGGGCTTGATGTGGAGAGCTGAAGATATATTGGAATGTTCCGTGTAATGTACGGCGGATTGAGTGCCGAGGATGCCGGTGTAGCAATTAACCACGTGTGAAAATAGGTGTAAAGTTGAAGTATGTTTTCCTGTGGGTCTGTCCTCTCCATTAATAATTCCCCCGAGAAGATGGTCTTTCAACAAGGAAGCTTCTGCCATCGGGCTTGGGATTGGGGCCATCCTTGGATCTTCCATGCTCGGATCTCCTCCTAGTCAGTCCTACACTGCCAGAAGACAAATTCCGGGTAGGACCGTATTTTCATGGATGAAGGGAGCATTGCAGAGGAAGTCCAGGGAGGTGATACACCTGTTTGACCCTTCCATGTGTCAAGTGCACACACCGACTGTTGTATGCTCCAAGAGAGCCCAGGAATGGCTCCTTCCATAGTGCAATGTATTTCTTTCTCTTTGATGCTCTCTTTTTTGGGCATGATAAATAAAGCCACTGAGCTTTCTGAGATCAATTTTCAATAAGCTGATTTCTGGGAGAGGTGGTGAGAGGGGCCTGCCAAGGTGCCGTGATGTTGTCCCAACTTTTTTCCTATGAGGCTATAATTTAGCTGCATATGATAATTAATTTCTCAACTATTGATGAATAATCCATTTAATAAAAACCGTGATTTAAGTGTTTTCCTTAGGGACGAACTCTTGCTAGCCTCTTAATTTAATTTTGTGCAAGTTTCCTCCACCTATTCATCAGTGGAAATGATTATTAACCTCTATTTGCATATATCCTTATAAATGGGTTCTCCTTGGAGTGCCTTTCCATGAGCCCTGCAAGCTGGGACACTTGTAAATCTCCAGGATCTCCCAAGTCAATCCTGACCTGTAATATTGTTTAATCTATTCTTGGATTGTTTTAATGCAGTAAATTCAATTTAATCTTTCCCCAGTAATCTAGTAATACATCGAAATCCCACAAACATTTAAATCTGATAATGGCTTAATCACACACTTTAAATAACAGTTGAGATAATGAGAAAAAAAAAAAACCCACTTACCATTTTTAAATGCAGAGTCCCTGATTCTCCCTTGAAACTGCTTGAGATGAACACCAGGTCTTTAAAAACAAAAAGCCATGTGAAATACATGGCACCAAGGCGTTAGGCATGGATTTCAAAATGTGTCATGTACCCAAGTCAGTGTCTGTTTTCACTCTCTTTTTTCCCACAAACTCTGGAAGGCTCTCTCTTTGAAATCTGGGAGTTGAAAAGACAGAGGTCCCAGCCCGTAAGGAAGCAAGCTTCGTTGTCAACACCACCTGCCATCTGCCTCCTCTCTTCTCCTAGCGGGCATCGCCATGACCTGCACCAGAGAGGAGTGTTTTCAGAGCCCTCACCTGTTAACTGCTGCACGTCTCCCATGGTTTGGGTCTTCCAGGACTTTCTTCCCACGGATCATTGCCTCTCATTACTCTTGCAGGTGCCAATGTCGAATCGCTCGAACTTTGCCCGAGGATCAGAAGCCAGAGTGTCGGCCCTACTGGGAGAAGGATGACCCTTCCATGCCTCTGCCGTTCGATCTCACAGACCTCATCTCCGAGCTCAGAGGTCTGCTTCTGGAAGCTAAGTCCTAGAGGGAAGCCCAGTCCTGGGCGGAAGAAGACACAACCCCTTTGGCTTTTTTCTCCTTCTACCTTGTCATGCTTGGGCTTGGCCAACGGCAGTGTAAACACCTCTCAACCTTTGGATTCTGGAATCTGGAGCCCAGTTTAATACAGCTAGGGAATGGAGCCCAGCAGGTTCAGTTCTGTCAAGATGATGCCATGTTAGAATGTGATTTGAGATGAAACAAGAATTTACCCCAAAATAATGTCGCAGCAGGGATGAGGCCCAGCTGTGACAAAGCCACATTTCCTTTCTTTTCACTCATGCCTTTCCAAGAGGCTTCACAGTGGACCCAGGCTTCTGTGGGGAGACAGGACAAATGTCCATCTGTCCACCCCAGTTTCTTCCGACAAACTCTAGAGTGGAATAGGCAAGGCCAGTTAAGTCATTTGGTCTGGTCTTTGCCAAGGCCACTACAAGACAGGACTCAAAATTCAGTAAACCAACAGCAGGCTAACGTGTAAGCTGGCTGTTTAATATGACCCACAAATGATGTTATAAATGTCCAAATAACCTTTGGCTAGAAAAGAGGTTCCCTCCCAGTGGTCTTAAGCTTGCGGGAGCCACCAGGTAGCTGTGGCTGCTGAAGTTCAAATCCATTGTTAGTTAAAAATTTACTCACTCCTGTGTCCTCGCCACATCGCAAGTGCTTATTCACCCTGGATGGCCAGTGGCTATCTTCTTGGACAACACAGAAAGAAACATTTTTATCATTGTAGCAAGTCCTACTGGGCAACACTTCTGCTGAAAGGCTCAAAGTAGGAATTCTCTTTTCTCCATCCCTGCAGGAGAAAGACCTTTAAGGAGAGCTGCCCATGGCATTTTCCCTTCTCTGAGACAAAGCTGAGCCAGCAGCCCGAGTTCTGAGCTGGGTGCTCCAAGCATAGAGGGGGGTGTTAGTAATTCCAGTACAGTTGGCATGCTGGCCACAGGGAATTCCCACACCCTCAGAAGACGGACACACTCTCCTCTCCCTGCAATGTCCATGGCTTCGTGGCTTTAACAGACATCACAAGGGTTCTCGCCTATAATTCCCTTTACTCCTATTTCCTGGCAGGTGCACCTGAGCCTGGAAGAACCCCAGTGCCCCAGGGTGATAACATTGGGGTGTCCTCTGAAGGAGAGACAGGGCAGTTGCAGCAGGGTTAAGACTCCCCACTAGCTCTGTGACCTTTGGCCTCAGTTTCCATCATTTCTACTAGGGAAACACTAGATACAGCAGCCCCCAAGAGCTAGATAAAGTGGGACAGCCTAGCAACAGTTAGGACAGTTCGTGGCATGATTTTAAGTACCCCCATGGATTTTCCTAGTAACCTACGCCATGAGCCAAGTGTGTTCCTCTCCCTTCCTCCCAATGCCAGCTTCGTCTCATAGCGTCACTTCCACATCCCTGTTTTCTGACCTGATTCCTACCTTTTGATATCCCCAGCAATCATGACCGGAGTGAGCCCCTCCTATCCCATCACTTTCTCTTGAACATGCTCACACTAGGGTAGAAACCCAGGAGCTCTTGTCCTTGGAGAGGCGCCCCAAGAACAGACCCCCTGCCTGCCATCAAACCACGTGGGCTCAGGGGATGAGGCTTTCCTGTGGACTTGACAGCCACAGAAACATGACGGTCCCCAGAGCTGAGAGTCCGGGTCCTCGCACCTGTTGTCTCCAAGCCTCATTTTCTCCTATCAGTCAAACAGAAGCGCCAAGTGCCAGCTCGCAGGGCTGTTGTAGAGCTTGAGTGGAGTCACTTGGGCCAGGAGTGTGTGGTATGCAAATGTCACAGATCAGAGCCCCTTGGGCCCTGCAGCTCGTGGCTTCATTGAGTTCCCGGAACGTCGGTTCTGTTTCATTTGGCACCCATCTTCAACAATTGAGAATGTGTGCTTAACACAAAACGTACTTGTCCACATCGTAGAATGCAGAACACCTCGCAGTCTGGGCCTCCGTCTGAACACAGCAGCCAGCTGAGTGGTGTCTCCCTAGTACGAGGCAGGTAGACCCTGTTATCACTTACCATCAACCTGCCCTGCCAAGCCTGTTTGTTTGCTGCCCCTGTAGTAGAAATGCATTAGTTATAGTGCTCCCCACAATGTATTCATAGACTATACTAACCCATCCTAAGCATTATACACATTTATATACAATAAAGATGTTGAAAGAATGAGCTGAGAGTCTCTGCAAAATCTTTGATTTTTTTTCTTCTATACCAGTGGATGGGCCTGCTCTGCTGGCCTGGGTGAGGCACACAGATGGGTGTGCATTCCCCAAACTGTCCCAGGGAGAAACTGCTTCCCTGAACCCCCCAAAGCTGAGATCACAGTTCCTTCCAAGAGTTGATGGCTGCCACCGAGTGTGTGTGTGTGTTTGGACAGTCCACGTGTGCTTCAGGAAGCTCTTAGCCGGATAGAAGGGGGTAGACATGAGACAGCAGAAAGGGTAGCCAGTTCCTGTATGTGCATGGGGGACAGGGTGGCCCAGCCCCATGACAACCCCTTGCAGCAGCCACAACCTCCATCTGCAGGTTTCCCTCAAGTTGTAGAGTCCCAGCTGCTTTAAGAAAGAGACATAAGAGATCACTTGGTAGTCAGGTGCTCTGACTGCCTTCCCTAGCTCCCTCCCACAGCCTTCAGCAGAGCTCTGCGCATTGGTCTCCAAGGACATGCCTCTGCACAATGTCTCCCAGGCTCCCAGATCCCCTGGGAATAGATGGGCTAGCAAAAGAAGAACTTACCTGTGATGGCTGGGGGTGGCTGGGGAACAGTCACCCGCCAAGGAGTATAATCATTCTTAATGCTGTAAGAGAGGGGAGGAAGACCGGCTGAGCAGGAGGTGGGGGGAAGTGGCAACCGAGTTAGCTGGGCTGCATTAGCGGGCAGAGCTTTCCAGAAACAGGAACAGCGAACACAAAGGCCACTGAAAGGATGCTGTCTGGGAAGAAAAGGGCCCAGGCAGAGAAAGCAAGAGGGAGACTGGGAGCGATGTGACTGGCAAGGACGCGGGAGCGGTGTTCGGGTGGTGTACCAGGGACAATGTAGGAACAACTTGCTAAGATATCTAAATGCTTTGGATGAGCTCCCTGGCTACTCTGGATGCCAGAGAGTGTGTAGACCCTGTCCAAAGAGGCGGTTCACTGACTGGGAGAGACTCCATCCCTGGGGGCGGGGCACCTGGCCTGAACCCCTCTCCAGTGGGCACCTACCTCTTGGTCAAGTGCTCTCCCGTTAGCACCTGCACACCACGGTGGCCTCTGATCCCTGCTGCTCTCACTGCCCGGCAGCCTCCAGCACAGGAGAGTTTTCTAGACAGAAAAGAAAGGAGCAAGGTCGTGGCATCGCTTATGACACAACTTTAGCAATAAGCTCCTAAATCCATCACTGCTAAGTCGCGGGATGCTGGCCACGAGGTTGCCCAGACCCTGCTTAATGGAAGTCCACGCTTAGGCGCGCTCTCTGTTGCCAGGGAAGGTATTTGCGAATGCAACTTTTTTTTTTCCCTTGCTCTTGTTAAGGCTGATTTTACCACTGGGCAAATTGCATACATTTGGATCCATGCCACGCTAAATACTGTTTATTTTGGAGATCTGTCAGAGGCAAGTGCATGGAAGACAAGGGGATTCTGATTTGAAAAGGCAATTCTCATCCAAATAGATTCAGATGGAGCGGAGCGGTACGGATTAAAACGCGCCCAAGTGGTAATGCCGTTTATCCAGTTTGCCTTTGTTACTTTGTGATTAAATGGTATTTTTAATTAAGTTTCATTGGGAGCCATAGGTATCGCGGTGGTGAAATCAATTTGACAACCATAAAGGGGGAGGGGAGGCCCCTGCGCGTTGTGATGATTACAGCTCTAGGGCAGCCGGGCGGGCAGGGAAGGGAAGGGAGGGCAGTGAAAGGGAGGGAACGGAAATGGCTGCGATGTGCTGTGGGAGCAGGACTGGGGAGGCGGGGTGCCAGTTCCCTCCGCCCCCCTGAGACACCCGCATGTATTCCTGGATGAGCTGGTGACTCCAGGGGACCATCTGAGCGCCCCACCTCCGCGAGTCCCCATCCAGCAGCACCCTCATCTTCCCAGACAATTCTAGTACCTGCTACTTTTGGAACCCAAGAGAGGAGGCTTCCCCTGGATGGGCCGCCCAGCTCCTGGCGTGACAACAAGCACAGCCCCTGTCTCCTGTACCTTCCCTCTCTTGTCAACACTCAGCATCTGCTGACTGCAGAGCTGTAGTCCAAGCTGCTGGCTGAAGACCCTTGGGCTTGGGTCCTGGCTCTCTGTGCGACCCCAAGGCTACCCACCCCTTGAGACCCTCCTTGTTGACACCGCGGGGATGCTAGTGACATTAATAATGGCCCACTTTGGCAGGAAGACGAAACACAGGCATGTGCATGTGAAATGTTTCCATAGTGACCCAGGATGCCATTGCCACGAACCCAGGCCCTGCACCTTCAAGAAATCCCTTCCCCTCTCTGTGCTCCTGTCTTCAGAATGAGGAACCTGTTCACCAAGGGCCAACTGGGTTCTACCATTATTCCTGGGCCACACAAAATTGTCCACTTAAAAATCAGGCTGTTGTACTGAATTTCGAGTCCTGCCTGGGGTTGCATTGGCAAGGCTGGACCAATGAACCTTAGATGGTCCATGGGCCGGATGGTCCCCATCCTTGTGGACAATGATGATGGCATCTAGCTTGTTGGACAGTTCCTGTATCTGCAATCCTGTGTGACCTGCCTTGGGTCTGGTCCATGGTAATCACTCGCTAATGCCTGTGAATTATTATGATGAAATATATTCTCCAAGGGGAGAAGAAAGAAAATTCCAGTTTGAGAGAAACAGTACATCCTTTATTCTCACATCTTCACTTCACAGCATCTATTGTTTTTCAAAGCAGATGGCATGCCATGCAACTTTTTACAAATGAGATACTATGAAAAATGATTCTTCCCAGTCCCTTCCTGCAGCAGGACTAGGTCACCCCTTGCAATTTCAGATTTGCTTTTTAAAAAATGGTTGCCATCACCTTCTAATGGATGATCTGTGTACAACAACTGTTTATTGGCTCTGAATGGCTGAGCGCTGGGGTCAGCCTCTGGCCCGGCGAGGGAAGCATTAATTAACTCCCAGCATTAGATTCCGTGATTCTTTTCCAACGATGCAGTTCACGACTTTGCTCGCATTTACTTTTCATCAGCCCTGAAAGAATCGAGGTAAAATAGCTGCTGTGCACAGGGGTGTCAAGCTAAATGGATCAGGCAGATACAGATCTGTTTGCCCGTCCACACTGTCTTTAGACAAAATTCATCAATTTTACAAAAGCCACTGACTAAACATGGCAGCAATACAAATGAAGGGCCTCTGGCATGCCCAGTTTTTCCTTTGTGTCTAACCTGCTCAAAGTGGTGGCTTCCTGTTGAGGGTGGGAGGTGGCAGCCTAGGACAGCATGCTGGCTCACCCATGGCGACGAAACAACCCAGGCCACCCTACGGAAAGTTTGGGAGGAAACACGGTGATCCCAGACCCCACGTGCTCAAAGTAATTTCAATCTTCTTGGTAAGCGGCCACGGCACAAAGCCCTTCTGCACGGTCTGGTCCAGTGTGAAAGGTCAAAGACTGACCCTAGGTGAACATCAGCTCCGATAGTGGTGCCACCTGCAGAGCAGCCTGCTTGCGCTTCCTGACTTCCGAGGCAAAGAGAAGGTCTGCCGGCCCGAGCTACCTGTTCCCACTGTGTTCACCTCAGTGCCTCTCCCCAGTGGAGAGACCAGTGGGAGGTGCTTTTTGTAGATACTAAAATCCTTTCCAACTAGGGATGAGAGAGACTATTTGTAATAATGAAATCCATTTAATTTGGGTGGTTCATGGAAGAACTCCTATGTTTATCACCTGCCATCAGGCAAGTCCAGGGTGACACAACAGCACCTAAAGGCTCGCTAAGCAGGGGCGTGGCAGGCAGTAACAGCATCTATTGTAGAGCGCAGGTTCAGTAAACCTGGCCCGACCTTCTCTTTCATTTGATCGGACTCTGTGGGCCCTGCACATGGAAATAGGTTCGGCATTTTCATAAAGTGATCTCGGAGCCCCGGGGCACGTGGTTGCTTTTGTTTCTATCTTTGCAAAAACTGCCATCCCCCTCCCAATGAAAAAAAAAAAAGCATTCTTTCTTTCCCATAGGGTGACTCAGCTCTTAACCTTGGGAGCAAGCATCGTTAACCTACCAACCTCCTGTCTGTACCATGGATACAATGGTTTCTCACATCGTCTCACACTCCCGCTCATAACTCATCATGCAGAAACACCCTGAGACCCCAGTTACCCTCCTTTCCCTGCCACCCCACTCTTCAGACAGAGAGATTGGGTCTCAACTGACTTCAGAAAAGTGGAGCGGGTCTATGGGAATTCCCAGTGTTATCCCCTCCCCTTGGTTCCAGCCAGGGACAGCTGGGAGGGATTCCAGGGACCATGTGCACAATCAAGGACTGTTGTACCATGGACGTTTCATTTTCTTTTCTCAAAATCAAAACAGAGTTTAGCAGGCAGCACGTTTTATACATGCTCCTTGATCAGTAGAATGATCTGTCAGAAGCCATTAAAGCCACCATTACCTTGAATGCATTCAAAGCTAAACTATTGGATCATTTAAGGGCTGCAGTGATTGTTTTTAATATACTGTACATTGATTTCTCCCTGGGACTAGCAGCATACATTTGAAACTAACTGCGTATGACTGCGACTCCATCGCTGTCTCTGCTAGCAGCGTGGTTTCACTCCGCCCGAAGAGGTCTGTGCGATTGTGTTCAGAGAGCTGTGGACTCTGCTAGAGTTCCCAAGGTTTAGACTGGGTCGAGCTGGTTGGTTTTTTCCTTTCTTTTTTTTTTTCCCCCAGACCTTCCTTCCATTTCTTTGTACCCAGGAGAGCGCTGTGCATGCAGAACGGGAGCGGCATCCCTGCCAGCAACCTCAAGTGAAAGGCAGGGGGGAAATTGTTCTGAAAGCATGAAGCACAGCTGAGGCCAAAATCCAAGCGGATCTGACAGCCTTGGGTCAGCAAAACTCAGTGCCCAGCGCGAAGCAGAAGTGTGGCTGCGCCAGGGTCTTCCTCGCTGGGACAGAGCTTATGGTGTGACGGGTAGTAAGGGAAAGGCAAGTGGGGAAGCTAGCCAAAGCCATGG